CTGACATTCTCAAATTACGTTTGAATTTTCAAAATTAGAAAAACTGTTTTGTAATATAGGCAGTCTTTTGGGTGTTTTCTTTGAATGTTGAAAACACTAATAGCTTAAGGACAAAAAAAGATTTCTAATTCACAGCCTGATTTGGCACCATCTATAAAGGAAGGTGTAGGATTTTCCCTCTAAAACCATCTTGCCTGCCATTACATTGAGTTTTGATGCTCTTTAATCATTCTACCCAAAATTTTAATTTTGGATCAGTTCACTGAGTTGAACTTTTACAAAATTTCTGCTGAATAATACATGTTTCTGAAATGAGATTAGAGAAAACTCACACGGGTTCATCACAATCCTCTCTTTCTTTCACAACACTTCCCTGTGACATGCTGGTGCCTGTATGCTTTGAAATCTGGCGCTGGACTACTACATTTACTGGGAGATGAAAGTGATGGTGAGGGAGAGGGTCCACGCACGAGCCTGCTCTCACCCTGCAACATCTGGGGTGATGTTGCTTGCACTTGACTCCCAGCAAAGCTCTGCTCACACATATTCAATCAGAAACTTGATAAAGTTTGGTAGCTAAATTCTCTGAAGATTTCTAACACACTTGGCATCTTTCAAGTCTGAAGGAGGCAAGCAGAACTTTCTCAGAAACTGTAAAAAAAATTTGGTTTGGATGATACAGATTATGTGCTTCTGATGAAAGAACAAGAATTCCTGCAATGAATGAGCAGCTTAAGGAGAAACTGAACCAAAGCAGAACTTCCTTTTAATGTCCAAAATCTATCAGTGCACCAATCATGCAACTGATGGAAGTCCAGAAACAGCCGTCTGTCTCTTCCTTCTAAAATTGTCATGTACTATATTTAATTCATAAGAAATACATTCTGTTATTTGGTTTCATCTTACTGTGAGATGCATACATGAGTACCTGAAGCCATCCTGATGAGTTACACCAAACAGCATTTATTATGGCATCTTTTTTTCCTCACAGAAATTGAGCTTTTGAAAGAAAACCATCTGTCCTGCTCTCGCTATTTTACCCTGCTAACTGTGTGAAGAACGCTGGTTTTACCTGGACCAGACATAGACAGGCAATTGCCTCTGCAGCCAACAGCAAACATGACTGGTATCTTCATCAGCCTGTGAAAGAGCTGGTCCCTTTTTTAACAGCATCTATGTATAGTAGTTTGCATGTCCAACTTTCAGGTGGGTTTTGAAGCAGACCATCCCATGCTAGGACTGATTTTGTTTCTGTTGAGTCAAGGACAAAGCTCTACTCTACTTTGACAGAGGCAGAACCACCCTGTGAATCTCTAATTATCCATGGTTTTTTCTAAGTCATTTATGAAACTATTAATTTTGCAGTTGTTTCCCACAAAGCAGGGATAATTCCGTGTCTTTTTAGTTTACAAGGCACACTGGAAGATGCCGCCGAATGTTTAGTAGGCAATTTGTGCTGTCATAACAGATCTTTGGCTTGGTTTTTGAATCAGAAAAGTCTGCCTTGGTATGGAATAATATGCAAAAAGAAACTGTCTTGAATCTATTCAAATACATAGAGAGTTTTTTAAAAACTCCATAATTCTGAAGTAAGGGATGCAATTTTGTTGTGATCTGCACAATGCAAAACCAGGAAATATAATATGGGACAGAGCTACATGCTCTTTTTTTTTTTTTTTTTTTTTTTTTTTTTTTTTAATAGCAGGAAATTGGACTGTATTTTAATATTTACCCACAGTTTAGAAGAAGAAGATTGCAGATTATTCTGGTTTTTTAAAATATGACAATACAATTTCGCTTCATCAGGACTACCAACAGTTCTAGAAAGAAATATCACATCATTGGATTCTATATTTAATCATTTATTTTGATTCACAAAAAGAACTTCTCTCAGGATGCTCTTGATAATTAAAAAAATTACAGCAATTACAGCTCAATAAATACTTCAGCTTCATCTTCTTTAGTCAACACATTACTGATAAAAGGAAAAAATAAACAGGGAAGTGTTCCTCCAGTCTTTCTACATTTGAAATTAGGACTGTAGCAAACAACATGGCCACTCTGACAGATTCACAGGGTCAAAAGCTCAGAAGGATGGATAAATAACTAGAGCACTTTGCATCCATTCTTTACCACAAATTTCTCACATATCCTTGGGAAAAGGCTGAGATGCTACCTCACACAGTCCTAGCCATGTAAATAAAGGTTTAGTATATTGTCTGAGTCACTCTGCCTGCCTTTCTGCTGCCCCAATGGCAGAGCAGATGCTGCTTCCCCAGATCCAAAAGCACTATGGGGATCCAATGGCACAGAGACACTCTAGTATCTTTGTAGCTTTCACACCAGTTTCAGCACAACTGACACTGAGCCAGGGTGCTAAAGCTGAGTTGGATACAGTATCCTTTATGGGCTACTAAATCACATATACCACAGCACATCCTTCTATTGACATCTGAAAGGAAGCAGGGATTAATTTCCTCCACTTGCCCTAAAAGGAGTGGGATAAATCCCTCTTCGGAGGTGCCGCTTTCTTTGGTGCAAGCTAAGAAGTTTTCCCAGGCTGTCGAGCACTGGGAACAGCAGCATGGACGCCACAGTGCCCTGCACAGAAGCAGTGCTGCCTGGAAGCAGAGGCAGGCACCTGCAAGTAACAAGCTAAGGAGTTATATTCATGAATGTTAGCTAAAATTGTATCTGGAGTCAAGCTGTGGCACAGATATTTTGTGTACTGATGATTGAGAGGTCATTATATGGAAGTAATACGTCTAATATCATGTTATGTCTTGACGAGTTCTGATGGTAAGTCCTTTTGTGCCCATACACAAGGGATATGGCATTCAACTGCATCTGCTGCCTCTCCACATTCCCTGATAGTGCAGAGACCTTCAAGGACTTTGGGATATAAAAACTGTTAATAGGCAAAGACTGACAACTTAGGCTGTTGTCAGCAGCTTGATAAGCTTACAATTCTATCTTCTGCTCCATGGGGAATTTACTGGCAAATTCCTCACTTCTCCAGCAGTGTCTAGGGAAGGTGCAAGGAGGAAGCTCAAGAGCTGCAGCTGAAGCATCCTGGAGGTGCACAGATGCTGAAGGAATTCTCCTCTTCTCCTGGACAGGAACCATCTGCCCCAGAGGATGGGTGTGGTGGATAGACCTTGACTGGATGTCAGGTGGCCACTAAGCTGCTCTATCACTCCCCTTCCCAGCCAGACAGGGGAGAGAGAATAAGATGGAAAATGACTTGTAGTTTGAGATAAGGCAATTCACCAAAGCAAAAGCGAAAGTTTGTGCGTGCACAAGCAATGAGGAAAAAAAAGCTTTACTGTCTACTTCCCATCAGCAAGGGGTCTTCAGCCACTTCCCTGGAAGCAGGGCTTCAGCACACATAGCAGTTGCTCTGGAAGGCAAACACTGAAAATAACAAATGCCTCCCCTTTCGTCCTCCTTTCCTTAGCTTTTATATCTGAGCTGATGTCATATGGTGTGAAATATGGGTCGGCTGGCATAGCTGTGTCCCCTCCCAGGATCTTGCCCACCCCCAGCCTACTGATGGGTGGAATGTTGGAGAGACAGTGCTGGTGCTGTGCCAGCACTGCTCAGCAGTAGCCAAAACACTGCTATGTTATCACCACATTTCTAGCTACCAATGCAAAGCACAGCACTGTGGGGGAAATGAACGCCATCTCAGCCAGACCCAATAAAAAATGGCTTTTGGTCTCTCTGGACAGAAAGAAAAGGTGTAGAAACTATTAAAGGTTACAGATCTGGCTGAGTTGATATTTGAGCCTCAAAGTGAGCGCCCAGCAGAGGGCTTAAGCAGGCCACTTAAAGGAAAGGACTCTTAAAAACTACACAGGGTGGATATAGCAAGGAGAAAGCTCTCAACGTGCACCATGAGGATGGTGGTCAATATACAATAAAATATTTTAAAAAATTCTGTAAATGAATGCACTCTGAGATGACTCAGTGGAATTGCATCATTGCAAATAAAACTGATAAAGCAAATCAGTTTTTTAACCTCAATCTTTTTAAACTGTGAACATATTGAAGGACACAGGGTAGACAAAATGCATTCAGTCCAGAAACTCTTCCTCAAAGAAATGTCTGTAGAAAATACAGTTTGAAAATATAGCAAGATCAATCAATTTGAAGATCAGGCCTCCTCTGCCAGAGCCCAACTGCTCACTTCGAGAGCAGCACAGGCATGAAGAAGACTGGAAATTGACAGTGATAGAAAGTGAAACGATAACAATTTTGCTTTACTTCAGTAACTTAGTGTTACTAGGAACTTTAGTTTTCCATCACTGAAGTGCTTAAAAGAATAAATAAACATCAAGAAATTGTAGTCAGCAAAATAGTCTGTACTTTGCTCTTTCCTCTCTTCCTCTCACTTAATGACTTGGGCTTTTGACGAGACAATACATTTTTATGACATTTCCTAGTATCCAGGGAAAGCTTAACGCTACCTGGGCCTATAGAAATATTTCCTTTCTTTTTTGAAGCACCAGCGATTTGACTGGATGGAAGGAGCTTAACACACACCCATGATGAGGCAGGAATTTTGCCACTGCGGCCCCTGCCTGACTCTGCTTTTTCCAAAATATCTACGACTGTTGATTTTCATGAAGATTTTTTTCATGTGGGTGAGCTGGATTTGATGTTAAGCTGCTGAAAAAACCTTATGGAGAGCTGGGGAGTTGGAGCTTGGGCTCTAAGAGGGAGGTAAGAGAAAGCAGGAGCTTGGTAGTGATGACACGGTGGCACAAAGTTCCGAGCAGGCCCACCGAGGCAGGAGGGTTTCTTTCTGTGTCTTCTCTCGTCTCTCACCTACGCTTGGAAATGCAGATAAAACAAATTTAAGCATATGAAGCTTGTGCTCAGTGGACTAACTCACTTGTGCCCCGTTCTATCCTGGTATAAAGGGCATAGTTTGTTCATATGGTGGTGAAGACGGTACTATTTGCAACTGCATTTCTCGGTAATGTTTTAAACATTACCTGCAGAACGCAGGCTCTGAGTGCATCGGCAGCATTTTCCGACAGCGCTGTGTTTAGCCGGGCGCTCACAGAGGCGGCCCGGCGCCGCCCGGCCCCTCGCCCCGCCCCGGCAAGGCTGCCCCGGGCCCGGCCGGGCCGCGCTGTCGCCGCCGCCGCCATCGCCATGGCCATGTCCGCGCCGGGCGCCGCGCGGCGCCTCTACCGCCGCCTCCTGCAGCTGCACCGGGCGCTGCCGCCCGCCCTGCGGGACCTGGGCGACCGCTACGTCAAGGAGGAGTTCCGGAGGCACAGGGCGGCCGGGCCCGCCGAGGCCCAGCGCTTCCTGCGGGAATGGGAGGCAAGTGCCCGCCGCCCCGCGGGGGAAGGACGGGGCACTCCCGGGCCGGGAGCGGCGGGCCCGGCGGGGCGCAGAGAAGGCCCCACAAGGTCAGGGGCACCGGGCTGTTCAGGGGTTGGACTCCATGATCGCAGAGGTCTTTTCCAACCTGATTGATTCTGTCTCCTCGGGCACGCTCCCCTGAAGGGCAAACTCCTTACAGAGCTACAGAATTCCTTGAATTCCACGTTTCTGGGCAGGTTATCTTTCACAGTTTGTATTTCCTTGCCTCAAATGTGTGTGATGATAGCTATGCACACACAAGTATCTGTAACAGAATGACAACAATTATATAATGAACTATATATACAAATATATACACAGAATTACCTTTATTATTTATAACAATATATTATATAGATGCATATATATTTATAACTACATACATAGCTAATTGTATAGTTATAATTAGCTAAATACACAGGTGTAAATAGCTTCCCCATGATCTTGTATTCTGTTTCTGAGTGACATTTTTTCAGTGTTTCCTAACAAAACAAGTTTTATGTGAACATTGCTTCTCTGCTGAACGCCCCTTCCCCGAACTTAGTGCCTGGTTTCACCAAGGATGGAAAAGCAGATCACTATGAAGCGATGAGGTTGTAACAAGTTTCACAAGCAGCAGAGGAGGGAGACCCATAAGGTGCTTTCCCCACACGCCTGAACTCCACCAGATGCTAGAGTATTAATAGACACCTAAAAACCCACACGGCAGATAAATGTGTAGACGCTTCACAGAGGAGAAACTTCGATTAAAACAAGAACTCAGCTGCAAGAGATGGATCTGTAGACAAACTTCCCATTAATTTTCATACTCATTGAACTACTGGTTTGGGAGTATTTTTGAATCTCAAAACTGTTTTCCTTTTGGTGAAAAAAAATTATATTCTGCTTTGCCATAGAAGCTGGTTAGCATAGGTAGCATCCATTGCCTCCCAGTTTACCAACTGAAGGGTAGTGAGGGGAGAACTGGCCCATCCCTTCTGTGTGCTGTAGCTGAAATCTTGTGGAGTAAAGGAACTTGGGCCAGGGCATCAGGAACCAGCAGGGAGAATGCTCCTGGTATTCTCTTCATAGGAGAGGAATAAGTGTATTTTAATTGCCTCTTGCCAACTGATAGATCCTCAAATCAGGGAAATTTGTATCTACCTCTCAAATGCCTGATGCTATTGTAGTTCTCAATTGCCATTTACTTGATATTGCTGAAATGTTTCCGCATCGTTGCTTCCAGTTTTAACATGAGCTAAGAAGACAAGTTACAGGTTACTATTTTCAGTGCTAAAATCTTCCTTAAAATAGTTTTAGAAAAGGAAGTAAGTGTTTACATTGAAATACCTTTAACCGTTTCTGTGAAGTAAACAGTGAAAATATTTCTCAGTTTTAAAATGTTTCAAAAGTAGATTATAGGGAAAATTGTGACAAAAATTAGACTACGAGGAACAGAAGTTGAATTTTGAAACCTGACATTTAGTGCTATTAGGTATGATATGTTCAAGGAAAGGAAACTAATTTAATAACTGTTTTGAGTGTGTGAGTATAAAGAACTTTGCAAATATGTCTGTCTTCTAACAAGATGCTGGGAGATATTAGCACATAGTTAACATGTCTCTTCTCATCTTTAATTTTTGTTTTGTTCTGCGATTTTTTTCTCCCCCAAATGATAATCTGTTTCAAGGGTGGAATTTACATCAGACTTTGATATTTTTGGTCTGTGAGACTTTCTTTGCATGTTATGCTATGCTGTGGTTCCTAGCCTCTTGAAGACTTGAAATAGATAATTGAGGAAGGTGGACTGTAGACAACTTGGATTAAGTAACTGTAGAGTCTGATTAGGCTCTAATTCATATTGGAGTCCTCTGTCCTGGTTTTGGCTGGGATAGAGTTAATCTTCTCAATAGGTTGTATATGCTGTGTTTTGGATTTAATATGAGAATAATGTTGATAACACACTGTTTTAGTTGCTCTAAATCAAGGACTTTTCAAATTCCTATGCTCTGCCAGTGAGGAGGTCCACAGGAAGCTGGGAGGGAGAATAGCCAGGACAGCTGACCTGAACTGTCCAGAGGGATATTCCATACCATAGAACATCAGGTTCAATATATAAACTGGGGGGAGTTGGCTGGGTGGGGCCATTTGCTGCTTGGGGATGGTTTGGGCATCAGTCAGCGGGTGGTGAACAGTTGTATTGTGCATCACTTGCTTCTGTTGGGTTTTATTCTTTGCCCCCTTCCTGGGCAGCAGGACACACTTTTGACCAGAAATAGGCTAGAAGCTCTAGGACAGTTCTTGCAGAGCCAGGGTACCTGCAAAGCATCCAGTTCTTGGAGGGCATAAGAGTTGCAGTTAGTGGTGAATGAATCAGTGATATGCTAGTTCTTCACATATATGAACCATAGCTGTACTCCTTGCCTCCTTATCTATGTTTATTAAACAAAACAAAAAACAAACCAAACAAAAAAATCCTCCTAAACAAATCACTACAATATTTATACAAAATGATTTTTTGAATTTCCTGTTAAGTTTATTTAAGAAAAAAACGAAGCGAAGTTACAGCTCTGTTAACAGTATTTTTACATGTTGCATGTCAAGTGCTTTTCTTCCCAATTTGCTTGTTCATTAGGCTGAGTATATACCTTGCTGTATGCACTTTAGTGTTATCAGTATTCAACTTGCATCTGGAAATGTTCTTTCCTCATGTCTTCTATTGCATGCAGGGCATCTGGTACAGAGTAGCTTGATGTCTCATGTTACAGAAAATTAGTACTCATAATTTTATATTAAAATAGTATATCTTAATGTATATTCATCAGAGGATAAAGATTATGGATATGATGATTGCATCGATGTTTGTTGACTTTGAATGAGGACTTCAATATGAAATGTAATCTTAATAAGTCATCCCAAATGCTTTTTGAATGACAATTTTCAAGGATGGCTTATTTTAACATGAAACTACTTGACTATTGTTAAAACCTTTCAGGATTTTTTTGGGTAGTCAGACCTTCTGGGTGTACTTGAATATACTAGTTCATAGCCTGTGGTGTGCTTTCTGGTCCTCCAATTTGATTCATATTTGTTAGTTGTTTAGAAAGCAGGCCTGGTATTCTAATCACATTATGGTTGCCTCAAATGATTTTTTTGCTCCCTTGGTATTTAAATCATGCTGATTCAAGAGAACTGAGCGTGTTGATTTGAGGTTGTAGCAAGGTGGGGGTCGGTGTCTTCCCCCGGGGCAACTAGTGACAGGACGAGAGAATGTAGCCTTAAGCTGTCCTAGGGCATGTTCAGATTGGACATCAGGAAGAATTTTGTCATAGAAAGGATTGTTAAATATTAGAACAGGCTTCCCATGAAGGTGGTGGATTCACTGTCCCTGGAAGTGTCCAAGAAATTACTGGGCCTAGCACTTATCTAGTTGATAAGGTGTTGTTTGGTCAAAGGTTGGATTTGATGGTTTTGGAGGTCTTTCCAATTCAAATGATTCTGAGATTGTTTCTCATAAGCTGAGCAAGTTTCCTTTATTTCCTGTGAAACATGGTGAAGAATCTGGAGGGAGATTTCTAGATTAACTTTAAAAAGAAAGGGGGAAAAAAAAAGGTAAAAAGCTCCCAAATGATACTGCCTTAGTATGTGAATGATTCATGTAATTTTCCTGTAAAGGAGATGAGAAGGGATTCGCTTGTTTAGAATACACAGGAATTGAGGGCTGTAGTGTTAGAACCCAACCACATAGACGGTTAATGTAGTTTTATAGGAAACCCAAACTGACCTGTTTGCATTTACAAAATAGGGAAGCTATCACTTGAATATTCTTGGAAGAGTTCTTAAGTGAATATGACTAATAATGGTCTGCAAGCCCATATACACTTATATAAAAGTAGAACAATATAAATAGGGCTTTTTTCATTGGTATTAGATTGATGTCTTGAAACCTGATGGAAAATATTAAAGTGGGATACAAAGAAAGTAAGCTTTGTTGTTCAGGAATTATGCTTGTTCAGGTAGATTAAAATTAAGTATATAAATTATTAATATATGTTCCTATCGATTTTCTAAATATTTAATATTTTAATTAAAATAATTGGTACTCATTTACAGGAGACTGCTGATATAATTAGATTGATAGTGATTATTACTTTGGAATGCTATTGAATTAATGTTGCCAGGTATGATAAGTCAATTAGTCCAACAGTCTTCTAAATCATGTGGTAGCTGATGAGAATGCTTACTTAAGATAGGTAATATTAAGATAGTATTGATCACTTCATTCCAGGTTACAGTAAGTAGAACATTCAACTAAGTAATTTCAATAACCATTTGTTTCACATTTAAGCTAATTCCTCTTTTAATTTTGAAAATGACCATTTCATACTTGGCTTTTTTATAAAGCCTGACCTGTAGATGAGAAGGCCTGGACTATTTGAAGATGAACAGAATCATTCTTCAGAGTTACGTGGCATCTTCTCACATCTAACAGATTGAATAAATTACCTTTGAAATGCTTTGGCCACTCTTGACTCTGAAAGCCTTTTTATAAGCTTTCAAATGAACTGAGACTGATTTGGGAGCTGGCATCTGCTGTTGTATACTCCAAAGAAAGATGACATTTCATTCCTCATAACAAATCTAGGCATTATATTGGTAAAATGAAGATAGAACAGTATCTCTCTGTCTGGGGAACCTGGTCACGTAGCCTCTCAAGAGTGACTAATTTTTTGGAATCAGTATAATATTTGATGCGATACAAATAATAGTCTTTCATCAAATTTATTTTCAGTTAACCAGGTCCCTTGCAGTACTTAGTTTGCTGGGATGATTGGGGGGTGCTGCCGTGATATTTCTCAGGACATAGTGTTCTGATGTATCTTTTTCTGCTTGTGAGTGGATACGCTTACAGAACTTTTTGCCTCTCAATTCTTTGGGCTAGTATGATCTTCCCTCCACTTTATTTTTAAGCTTCTGAC